GCGTTCCACAAGGAAGTGTGCTGGGTCCACTGTTATGGAATGTCTACTTCAACGACCTTCTTCATCTCATCCCAGAATCACATGCATATGCAGACGACTGTACACTGACATTCACTTATCCAAGAGAAGAAATGCCAGCTGCTCTAAGCTACATCAATCACCAGCTGAGAGCTATATCAGCTTGGGGAAATAGATGGCAAGTAACATTTGCACCTGAGAAAACGCAAATGATGATCGTCTCTAGGCACCATGATGGTAATGCTGGTGCAGTAGTAAGGATGAATGGGAGGATGTTGGCACCTGGAGAAGAAGTTGATATCCTTGGGGTGAAATTTGACTCCAAACTAACCATGAAGAACCATGTTGTAAATCTTGCAAACAAGGCAGCCAGGAAGCTTACAGCACTTCGCCGTATCTCGCATCTGCTTGACAGTAGGGGTTGCAAGATACTGTACGAGGCACAAGTACGCTCACACCTTGAGTATGCTCCACTTTCTTGGTTTGCCTGTCCCCCTCTCATCTGCGACTGCTTGACAGAGTAGAGAACAGAGCAAGACGTCTCATCTCTCGCCTGGACCCATCCTGGATGGATCTGTCATTTCAGCAGAGCCTTCAACATAGGAGGGATGTGGGTGGCCTTACTGTTATGTACAAGGCCAATATTGTCAAAATACCACACTTGGATCCACTTCGAGGACAGCGCGAAACAAGCTTTTTATGCCACAAGACGGGCAGAAAGCAGCAACTTCACTCTGGCTGTACCCTTCTCCAGAACATCACTCCATCTGAGATCATACATACCCAGGATGACTCGAGTATGGAACACATTCGTTCAGCATAATGATGTCAACGAGATAACGTCAGTTGATCAAATGAAAATGCTGGCCCACAGATGGCTCCAACTTCATCCTGTTCCCTACTTGTATGTCTCATAACAATAAAAATGCTTTCAAATGAGCTGATGTAGGTAACAGCTCTTAGCTTGTCAATAAAGTTAGGAATCCTTAACCTGTAAATAGCTTGTCAATAAAGCTAGGGATCCTTAACCTTGTCAAACCATGTGTAAAAAAAAAAAAAAAAAGAGGAGAGGAGAGAGAGAGAGAGAGAGGAGAGAGGAGAGAGAGGAGAGAGGAGAGAGAGAGAGAGAGAGAGAGAGGAGAGAGAGAGAGAGGGAGAGAGAGAGAGAGAGAGAGAGAGAGGGAGAGAGAGGAGGAGAGAGGAGAGAGAGAGAGGAGAGGGAAAGAGAAAGAGAGGGGGAGAGGGAAAGAGAAAGAGAGGGGGAGAGTGAGAGAGAGAGAGAGAGAGAGAGAGAGAGAGAGAGAGAGAGAGAATGAGTATGAGTATTAAGAACAACCTCAGTCCTAGTACTCGTCCTTGTGGGACCCCAGTCTCTCATTCTGATACCTCATCTCTTACTGTCACTCTTTGTCTTCTATCTTTCAGGTACTCCCTGATCCATTGGAGCACTCTACACTTTTATAGTCTCAGACAGTCATGATTATTAGGCCTAGTGACTAATTGCAAATGGTTACTAACAAATATTATTTGAGAAGATTGATGTATAATTGAGTGTAGTCTGTCTAGGGTAGGTGCTGTGAAGACTTAAGATGCTCGTATTTCTTTCTTTTTGAATTTATTTAGAGCAAATTACAAAGAATCTTGTATAAAAACAATACATACATCTCTTAATACAACAAAAAGTTGTTGTCCAGGCAGAACATTGCTAATTATAAAAGCAAAGTCATGGCACTCGTCTGTTGCTTCATGCAGGCTCAGTAATATTCTCTCTTTCTGTGGATGTAGAGTGTAGGTGCTCATATTTGATTGAAATTAATGTGTTATGGAAACATGTCCCTAAAAGCTGGGTCACCTCTATTGGAGTGGAAGATTTTATGAATTGTTCTTGGGCAACTACTCTCAGCACAGTCACTGAATTAAGAGCCCATCATTTTCTTTGGCTTCAATGGCAAGGTTTTTCATTTCTTAAAATCTCGGCGCTGTATAGCCGTTGTGGCTTAGCGCTTCTTTTGATTATAATAATTTTTTTTTTTTTATTATCACACCGGCCGATTCCCACCAAGGCAGGGTGGCCCGAAAAAGAAAAACTTTCACCATCATTCACTCCATCACTGTCTTGCCAGAAGGGTGCTTTACACTACAGTTTTTAAACTGCAACATTAACACCCCTCCTTCAGAGTGCAGGCACTGTACTTCCCATCTCCAGAACTCAAGTCCGGCCTGCCGGTTTCCCTGAATCCCTTCATAAATGTTACTTTGCTCACACTCCAACAGCACGTCAAGTATTAAAAACCATTTGTCTCCATTCACTCCTATCAAACACGCTCACGCATGCCTGCTGGAAGTCCAAGCCCCTCGCACACAAAACCTCCTTTACCCCCTCCCTCCAACCCTTCCTAGGCCGACCCCTACCCCGCCTTCCTTCCACTACAGACTGATACACTCTTGAAGTCATTCTGTTTCGCTCCATTCTCTCTACATGTCCGAACCACCTCAACAACCCTTCCTCAGCCCTCTGGACAACAGTTTTGGTAATCCCGCACCTCCTCCTAACTTCCAAACTACGAATTCTCTGCATTATATTCACACCACACATTGCCCTCAGACATGACATCTCCACTGCCTCCAGCCTTCTCCTCGCTGCAACATTCATCACCCACGCTTCACACCCATATAAGAGCGTTGGTAAAACTATACTCTCATACATTCCCCTCTTTGCCTCCAAGGACAAAGTTCTTTGTCTCCACAGACTCCTAAGTGCACCACTCACTCTTTTTCCCTCATCAATTCTATGATTCACCTCATCTTTCATAGACCCATCCGCTGACACGTCCACTCCCAAATATCTGAATACGTTCACCTCCTCCATACTCTCTCCCTCCAATCTGATATTCAATCTTTCATCACCTAATCTTTTTGTTATCCTCATAACCTTACTCTTTCCTGTATTCACCTTTAATTTTCTTCTTTTGCACACCCTACCAAATTCATCCACCAATCTCTGCAACTTCTCTTCAGAATCTCCCAAGAGCACAGTGTCATCAGCAAAGAGCAGCTGTGACAACTCCCACTTTGTGTGTGATTCTTTATCTTTTAACTCCACGCCTCTTGCCAAGACCCTCGCATTTACTTCTCTTACAACCCCATCTATAAATATATTAAACAACCACGGTGACATCACACATCCTTGTCTAAGGCCTACTTTTACTGGGAAAAAATTTCCCTCTTTCCTACATACTCTAACTTGAGCCTCACTATCCTCGTAAAAACTCTTCACTGCTTTCAGTAACCTACCTCCTACACCATACACTTGCAACATCTGCCACATTGCCCCCCTATCCACCCTGTCATACGCCTTTTCCAAATCCATAAATGCCACAAAGACCTCTTTAGCCTTATCTAAATACTGTTCACTTATATGTTTCACTGTAAACACCTGGTCCACACACCCCCTACCTTTCCTAAAGCCTCCTTGTTCATCTGCTATCCTATTCTCCGTCTTACTCTTAATTCTTTCAATTATAACTCTACCATACACTTTACCAGGTACACTCAACAGACTTATCCCCCTATAATTTTTGCACTCTCTTTTATCCCCTTTGCCTTTATACAAAGGAACTATGCATGCTCTCTGCCAATCCCTAGGTACCTTACCCTCTTCCATACATTTATTAAATAATTGCACCAACCACTCCAAAAACTATATCCCACCTGCTTTTAACATTTCTATCTTTATCCCATCAATCCCGGCTGCCTTACCCCCTTTCATTTTACCTACTGCCTCACGAACTTCCCCCACACTCACAACTGGCTCTTCCTCACTCCTACAAGATGTTATTCCTCCTTGCCCTATACACGAAATCACAGCTTCCCTATCTTCATCAACATTTAACAATTCCTCAAAATATTCCTTCCATCTTCCCAATACCTCTAACTCTCCATTTAATAACTCTCCTCTCCTATTTTTAACTGACAAATCAATTTGTTCTCTAGGCTTTCTTAACTTGTTAATCTCACTCCAAAACTTTTTCTTATTTTCAACAAAATTTGTTGATAACATCTCACCCACTCTCTCATTTGCTCTCTTTTTACATTGCTTCACCACTCTCTTAACCTCTCTCTTTTTCTCCATATACTCTTCCCTCCTTGCATCACTTCTACTTTGTAAAAACTTCTCATATGCTAACTTTTTCTCCCTTACTACTCTCTTTACATCATCATTCCACCAATCGCTCCTCTTCCCTCCTGCACCCACTTTCCTGTAACCACAAACTTCTGCTGAACACTCTAACACTACATTTTTAAACCTACCCCATACCTCTTCGACCCCATTGCCTATGCTCTCATTAGCCCATCTATCCTCCAATAGCTGTTTATATCTTACCCTAACTGCCTCCTCTTTTAGTTTATAAACCTTCACCTCTCTCTTCCCTGATGCTTCTATTCTCCTTGTATCCCATCTACCTTTTACTCTCAGTGTAGCTACAAGCTACAACTCGGCACTGTGTGATCCAAACATGTTTAGCACTTTTGGATCAGTTAAAATCTGGAGGAAGTTCATCATATACCTTAGAACTTCATACATTTCAGAACTTCATAATCTGTCATAATCTTCATCATTCTTCAGTTGATGTGCTGAAGAATTTTTTCTTTCAAAAATTGCTTTAAAATTATTTAAAATGGTATACAGTACATGAAAATTTAAATACTTTGGTAGGCATGCATATTCTTTAAACTTTTTCCTTGTTCAAGAGACTGCATGTTTAAAATGATGTCTGAAGGGGCAATATTAAATTATATTACAAACATTACTGTATCTTGTTAGATGGCTTATATAGCATATTAATAAACTGTCATTATTTTTTCTGTCATACTTTCTTGTCAGAGACTCAAGAGCAAAGGCCAAATCTTTTCAATGACATAATTGCGTTTTCCTTTTTTCCTTGTTTTATTTTAGTCAATTATTTTCTTTTTTGTTTCAGTTGAGGGTGTTGGTGTACCATGTCAAGTGTGCTTAACCGGTCGACCTCCATGCTGAATGGTGGAGAAATGTTCTTTGGGGGGGCATCTGGTGTAGGTGGAAGTGGAGATGGAGGAGGGGGGGAAAGAGGTGGTATGGCTTTGCGGGATTCATTAGTAGGAGTGATAGGAGCACGGCACTTGAGAGAATCACCAACCTCCTCACCCCTGCAGATATTTGTGAGAGCCAAAAAGAAGATCAATGATATATATCAGGAGATTGAGGAGTATGTTGCAGAAGCCACCCTTTTCCTTGAAGGTTAGTCGGTAGCAGCTCTAGTAATTTGTGTTTTAATCTTTTTTTCTTAATTCTGAGTTCAAAAAATGGTTATAAAATGATGGACATGCAAACATTATGAATAAAAAACCAAAGAAATAGATATTACAGTCCCCACTACTGAGTGTAGTTCTTGTGTTTGTAGTGTGTGGAAGCAATACAGTAATGCACAGTAATATGCCTTACATTTCCCCAGGCTCTGTATGACCCCTATGGGTTTTGCACTCCCCATGAATGTAGTTATAATATTCACACTGTACCACTGAATTTTATATCAGTATGTTCGCTACAAGTAGCATTAGCTTACTTTTTCTCTCCGATCGTAATTTTGAGTTCATCTAAAGCAGTAAGCATTAATCAGTTACTGTATTTCACTTTCACTATCTGTATGCACTGCTAAAAGGGTGGCTAGTTGTGGATTAGGAAATTGACTTGAGCGAGAGCTAGAGTATGGGATATAAGTTTGATGAAGTTGTTCCTTGGTCTTAAATTTTAAGGGGAAAGAGTAAGGGAAGCATGTTCTTGGTAGAGGTCTTAGATATCTATTTCATGCAAAATTAAATCACGTATTATCATTGGAATTGTGAAAAATTTTGGGGATTTATTGCTGCCAGTAAATTAATAGTTAGTCATGCCAGAGGGTTAATTTAGTAAGAGTGAAAGGAAATACAATTGTATTCTGTTTTTAAAATCAGTGCTAATTTAAAGAAATTGGAAGTAGTTAATTATATAACTACTTAATGCTTATTCCAGGCCATGATATGTATTGTTTAGGTATTCTGTTAATTGTCTGACAGGAGTGCACAATGACAAGGGCCTTATCGGAGAGAAAGATCTTAATGACTTCAAGTCCTACAGTACTAAAGTGGCAGGTATTAAAGAAGTTCTGGCAAGAGACCACATGAAGGTTAGTAAATTCGTCTCTGGGTGATAATATGGATATGTTTTATGTACCCTGGTTTGCTATTAGGATAAATTATAATTACCTCACCAGCTATACAAACTAGTTAACTAATGATTTCTGTGTTTGCTAACTGTAAGTGTCACATACAATGGAACCTCGGTTTTCGTGATTAATTTGTTCCAGAAAGTCTGACGAAAACCGAATTGTACGAAAACAAGCAATATTTCCCATAAGATATAATGTTAATCCAATTAATCCATTCCAGACACTCAAAAATATTAACAAAAAATACATATTACAGGTGTCCCTCAACATTCGCGAGGGTTAGGGGATCAAGAGCCGTGAATGTTTGGTGCCCCAATATATTGTAGGGAAATATAATACAATACTGCTTAACTTGTTGAACCATGAACAATCATAAAATACATGAAAACGTCGTAAGTTGTACTAAATATATACATGTTATGCTTTAATAACATGTATGTTATTAAATACCACAGACTCCACCACTGCCTCCACCACTTCCTCAACCACTGCGAGTCCCTACTACCCTCCCTCCGACCCCCGCAACTGGCAGCCAACCCTCCCACCACTCAGTGTGGTGAGTGTTTTGTTTGTTCATTATTTGCTATTAAACTACAGTTTAAATAATGTAAACACATTCATGACTGCATATTGGAATGGCTATTTGAACAGGTATTGGACGGTGACATCATGTGTTTACTCTTGAACACAGCAAAGAATCAAACATTTCTGCTACTGCTAATAATAACAATAGTAATAATAATAATAATAATAATAATAATAATACAATATAATTGAAGAAGGAAATTGTACAAAAATATGAGGGAGTGGTTGACACATCGTCAGTGTGGCTTTGTTTATGCTGGAGTGAACATTAGTCTCCCTGCTCTTCCAAACATTTCACAATAATTCAGCGGTTGAGGCAGTGATAGAGGCAGTGGTATTTACTAACATATACGTTTGTTATAAATAATAATAGTACATGTTAATATTAATAACATTTATAATAATAATAATAAATGTTATTCATAATGTACTATTATTATTTATAACATATGTTAGTAAATATCACTGCCTCTATCACTGCCTCTACCACTGCCTCTACCACTGCCTCTACCACTGCCTCTACCACTGCCTCTATCACTGCCTCTACCACTGCCTCTACCACTGCCTCTTCCACTGCCTCTACCACTGCCTCTACCACTGCCTCTACCACTGCCTCTATCACTGCCTCTATCACTGCCTCTATCACTGCCTCTACCACTGCCTCTATCACTGCCTCTATCACCTCTACCACTCCAGTCACACTCAATCTACAAGCACCAAACAATGAATTATTGTGAAATGTTTGGAAGAGCAGGGAGACTAATGTTCACTCCAGCATAAACAAAGCCACACTGACGATGTGTCAACCACTCACTCGTATTTTTGTACAATTTCCTTCTTCAATTATATCGTATTATTATTATTATTATTATTACAGTGGACCCCCGCATAACGATTACCTCCGAATGCGACCAATTATGTAAGTGTAATTATGTAAGTGCGTTTGTACGTGTATGTTTGGGGGTCTGAAATGGACTAATCTACTTCACAATATTCCTTATGGGAACAAATTCGGTCAGTACTGGCACCTGAACATACTTCTGGAGTGAAAAAATATCGTTAACCGGGGTCCACTGTATTATTATTATTATTATTATTATTATTATTATTATTATTATTATTATTATTATTATTATTATTATTATTCTTATTATTATTATTCTTACTATTACTATTGTTATTATTAGCAGTAGCAGAAATGTTTGATTCTTTGCTGTGTTCAAGAGTAAACACATGATGTCACCGTCCAATACCTGTCCAAATAGCCATTCCAATATGCAGTCATGAATGTGTTTACATTATTTATACTGTAGTTTAATAGCAAATAATGAACAAACAAAATTCTCGCCACACTGAGTGGTGGGAGGGCTGGCTGCCAGTTGCGGGGGTCGGAGGGAGGGTAGTAGGGACTCGCAGGTGGCGGGAAACTTGAATATGATTTGGCGGCTGGGAATTTGGTGGCTGGGAATTTGGCGGTTGGGAATTCGCGAATGTGTGAAGCCCGCGAAAGCTGAAAACGTGAATGGTGAGGGAGACCTGTATAGAGAATAATTAGTTTTACATAAAGAAAACAATGAGAAATATATATAAATGACTAATGAAATGGATAAATGAACATTTAACATCACTTTTACCTTTATTGAAAAGACTTGTTGGTATATGGAAGATGGCAAAGAGGAAGGAGGAGAGGTTATTGTTTGGAAGGGGAATCCCCCTCCATAAGGACTTCAGGTATCAAGACCCTATCTGGGGTTACTTCCCTTCTTTGTCTTTTACTGGCACTAGAACCAGCTTGAGTCACTGGACCCCTGTCGCACAAAAAATCTGTTCTGAGAGGTCTGTTTCTGGCGTCTCTTTAAGATTTGCCAAAAATGGGACAAGGCATTCTCATTGAACATGTTGCAGACACGGCTTGCAACAGCTTTGTTAGGGTGATATTTCTCCACAAAACTTTGCAACTCATTCCACTTTGCACACATGTCCTTTGCGAGATCCGCATGCAACTGCTTTGCCTTTTCGCAAATTATCACCTCCACAACACTATCCCGCTAACGTTTTTGTTGATCCACACCAACAGCAACTTCTCAACATTTTCGATTGTTTGCGATCTCTGTTTTGTTAGCACATTTACCCCTTTCGCAACATCAGTTTTCTTGATTTCTTTTTTCTTCGCCAGGATGGAACTGATCGTTGATGCGGACTTCCCATAGATCCTGGCTAGATCGGCCACGTGTACGCCACTTTCGTACTTTGCTACGAGTTCTTTCTTGAATTCTATCGTGTTTCTCCCCTTCTTTATCAAAGGGCTGGCACCCGGAACTTTCTTTGGCCCCATGGTGGCTTATTTAGTAGTCACACTCAATGAACAAGCACAAAAAACAATGGATTATTACGAAATATTTCAGATGAATGCACGGGGTAATGCTCACTCAACGAGAAGCAAAGCCAGACTGAATCAGAACACGTGAGATGCTTTGTGTGGGCTTGGGCAGGCAGATGCGTTTGGTATGGTGGACCATTGTCAACTCTATGAAAACCAAGCGGATGTACAAAAACTGGGACAAAATTTTGAAGAGAAAAAAATTGTCAAAAACCGAATCCGACGAAAACCAGGGCATACGAAAACCAAGGTTCCGCTGTATAATGTTGATTATTGTATATAATGTAGAATTTTATTTTGCAAATGAAAAATATTCAGATGTGCATATATAACAGAAATGATTTAACACAAGCCAAATTGTTATCATGCATGTAACATTCACCACATAAAGATCAGTATGCTGTGTGCCATGACTAAAAAATACCATGATATGTTGATTAGCAGTGGGTGGCAGTTAGCAGTCAGGTTGCTTGCTGGAAGTGATGGTGTTTGCTTTATCTTAGAACTTGACTTGTAGAATTTGACAATTTTTATATCCTGACAATTTGGTATAGTACTCAGAATAAATGATTTACAATAAATATTTGAAGTATTAAGTAAATATTACTTTCTTTGTTTAGTATTATTAATGTGGCAGGTTACCAGTTTGTTCTGTGTTTATTTTTTCTAATTTTTAGGTGGCATTTTTTGGCCGTACATCTAATGGAAAGAGCACCGTTATTAATGCCATGATGGGTGAGAAGATACTGCCCTCAGGCATTGGCCACACAACTAACTGCTTCTTACAGGTTAGATTCACACACTTTTGTATACAGGGATCTCAGCCTGTATTTTTTTAAATCTTTATACAGATAACCACATATCTCATATGTGCATGTATATAAATACAATAATTTTTTATTTTCTAGGAATACAGTACGGCCACTCTTATACAGCAGGTTAGGTTCCAGGCTGCTGCTGTAAAGAGAAAATCACTGTAAAGTGAATAATATTTTTTCACTCTCAAATGCATATAAAAGCCTGATAACTTGTTTACACTATCACATGTTAAGTGAGCAATATAGCTAGGCTGAAAAAATACATATGTAGCTTAAAATATTTTCATCCTTAGCTTATAGTGAGTGGTGAAAATATTTATTGTAGGAATTCTTGAGTAAATGAAGAATGGGTATAATTGAAAACCACTGTAATAGTGAAATGCTGTTAAAGCAGGGCCTTTCTCTCTATACATTTGTGTTAATGAGACTGGTTTAAATTTATTTGCAAAAGCCCATAGTTATGCACAGCATTTGGCATGCTAAAACTATAGAACTTAAACCAGTACTACAATATGACTGTATTTCTGTAGACAGTAAATGTATATATAAATCACTTTGGGATAGCATCATATCACCACTGTGTCACAAAAATTAGCCTTTGTGCTTTTTTATTGCTAAACACAGTTGTGTTCTTAATTTTAATTTGTGTTGCATCGTTTCCACCTGCCAACTTTACCTTCCCTGGTTGTTCTTGCCTTTTATTAAACATTGAAATTTTGGCTAATATTCCTTCACTGATGCAGAAGCGTGTGGAATTTTCTAATTTTTATCTCACTCATTTTGCATACTATCCTCATTATCATATACTGGACAACTTCAACATTGCTTGTAACTACATGTATATTTTTCATGTAGAAGTCATGTAAAGCATCTTTAGTAACCTTTGTCTTGTTCTATTTAATTCCACTGCCACTGAAGTGGCAGTGGAGGCATTCTTTTCTGAAGTTGATGTTAGTTCTTCACCCATTAACTCTAATAAGTTGTGCAAGAATGGTATATAATACCGACAAGATGAAATTAAGACACGTGCAACATGTGGGTATCTTTATTGTAGACGTTTCGCCATCCAGTGGCTTTATCAATACAAATTCCAGGACATAACTTGAAGACAGTAGGACTATATATAGAAGATGAGGTAATCAGTCCCTCAACCTTGGAGCAGGTGTGAAGAGCACCATAGTCGTGGAGATTCTGAAGCTGAAGCAAGGAGCCTGGCGCTTATATACTAACGTCAGATGTAGCAGACGAGGGCATAGTCACTGATAGGCGGGATTCCCCAGTGGAAGTAGGTCCTTCCCAAAGAGATGGGTTAGTTGTAGTAGTAGTTGGTGTAGTCGTGAAGGTTATGTACATGTCCTCAGAATCAAGATTCCATGATGATGCAGTATCTGACAAGTTGTGCAAGAATGGTATATAATACCGACAAGACGTTAGTATATAAGCACCAGGCTCCTTGCTTCTGCTTCAGAATCTCCACGACTACGATGCTCTTCGCACCTACTCCAAGGTTGAGGGACTGATTACCTTATCTTCTGTATATAGTCTTACTGTCTTCAAGTTATGTCCTGGAATTTGTATTGATAAAGCCACTGAATTGGGAAATATCTACAATAAAGATACCCAGATGTTGCACATGTGTTTTAATTTCATCATTAACTCTAATAGTTTAGTAATTGAAGTAATAACTGGTGGTGCACTGTCAGTCACCTCTTCTTTAATTATGCTTCAGCATTTGGATTGTTTATGATAAGTTTCAGAAATGCATCATTGCTTAATACAGGCAGTCTTTGTTACATCATACTTCAGTGTCTTCATGTGCATCTATTGTTTATAATATTTTTTACTATTCCAAAAATATTTTAAAAGTTTCATTAAACTGAATTTTATATTTTGGCATTTAATAAATAGCAGTTTCTAACATCTTTTTAATAGGTTGAAGGTATAGACACCAATGAGCCTTACCTTACCACTGAAGGATCCTCTGAGAAGCAGAATATAAAAGGCATTGGACAGTTGGCTCATGCACTATGTAACAATAGGCTTGGTGACTCTACCCTTGTACGTATACACTGGCCTAAAACTCGATGCCCACTCCTAATGGATGATGTTGTCCTTGTTGATTCTCCTGGCATAGATGTATCAGAAAGCTTGGATGACTGGATCGACAAACACTGCCTGGATGCTGATGTCTTCGTGTTAGTTGCAAATTCAGAGTCCACGCTAATGAACACAGTAAGTACCATATACAGTATATTAAATTTTGAAGTTATCATTCATCCATTTAATGAATGATGGTGAATGTTTCCTTTTTTTGGCTCACCCCAGTCTTGGTAGGAGATGGATGGTATGTTAAAAAATCATTGAAAAATCACGTAATATCATTGACTATTTGATAATGAATTATTTCAACATATTGAAATGATAGGTATGAAAATAAAAAGAGAAAGGTATTAGATATGTACAGGTTAACTATGCTCCAGTAATTTAGTTTAAAGACATGATGTATTAATGAACAAACTTGTATGATGAAAGCTTTCTCCAGCTTACTATAAAATGTTGCAGCTACTGTCACCAGCCCATTGAATGAATGATGTTTTGTATCTAGGATGAAAGTAGGTAAGGAATATGTAGCTAATGGAAAGATAATGAGTTATTAATTTAATGGTACCATTTTTCTGTAATTTTCTTTTAGGAGAAGAACTTCTTTCACAAAGTGTCAGCAAGACTTTCTAAGCCAAACATATTCATCCTTCAAAATAGATGGGACATGGCTGCCTCAGAACCTGATTTTTTGAACGAGGTGAGTCAGAATTTAATTTTATATTACATTGCATTATTGAAGTATGCTGTAAAGAAAGAGAATTTAAATGAGCAATGTGTTCATATTATTAGCATGTGCATGTAGATCATAATGTACATTTTCCAAAGATTTCTTGTATGGTGTCACTTTGATAGTCAAGCAGTGTGTTTACTTATTATAGCTGAGTAAGCAAACATTTAAATAACATGGCAAGATACAAAAGTCCTTTTATATGGAGCTTGCTTAGGGCTGATTACAGCTTCGAACAAATGTTACAAAAAACTGTTGTTCATTGCTGCATGTAGATTTAAAGAAGTTACAACCTCCCAGACAAAGAGTGTTCATCATCTTTGATGAATAGTGTTATCAAAAGTTTTCTAAAAGGTACTATGGTATAGTAAATATTGTACTGTACCTTGATGTAAAAAAAAAAAAAAACTCAATAAGGTTTCTTATTTAAGGCTCTTTCCAAAACTCGGATACCACAAATATCAAGGACTTTCTTTACTCTTAATTTATGTATCAGTAAAGCACGCTGTAAGAAGCCAGAAGCAAGGGACTAGTAACCCCTTCTCCTGAATAAAATACTAAATGTAAAAAGAAGAAAAAACTTTATAGTTTTCTCCTTTTTCGGTTCACCCCTGCCAGTGCTTTGAAAAAAAAATATGTGAAGGAGAGGTGTTAATGTTGCAGTTTTATAACTGTAGTGTAAGTGCACCTCTGGCAAGACAGTGATGGAGTGAATGATGATGAAAATTTTTCTTTTTCAGGCCATCCTACCTTGGTGGGAAACAGCCTGTGTTAATAAATAAATAAAAATAGAAAAATGGCAAATGCTTTACAATATAAAAGTTCACCTTTAAAACTAAACATGGCAATACTCCTGACACCACATGAATATCAGCGATTGTAAATCTACTTAGACAGCATAGAAATTTGGACTTATAAGTGGTACCAAGTTTCATTGGTGATAATTATACAGTACACTATGTATCCAGTAATATATATGAAGGTAAACAAATGGATGATGGGCTGCAATAATATTAGAGTAAATTAAAATAAACTAGGATAAGAATAAGTAATGTAATTTTAAGTAAACAGTTTAATGAGGATGCAATCAAAGTCAGCTGAATGATCATTTAAATTTTGATGCAAAACAATCATTCTCTGTCTGTCTCTCTCTCTCTCTCTGTTATTTTCTCTTATTTTGTCTCTTATTTTCTCTCATTTTCTCTGTTATTTTATTTCTCTTATTTTCTCTCTTTTTCTCTGTTTTTTTATGCATCCTGTTGTAGAATATTGCCTTATGCTCTTGTCACAGGTTGAGGAAGGGAAGGATGCAGTTAGGTTGCTAAGTGTTTACCAACAAGCTGTCAAAATGATAACTAATCTGAGAAGTAAAATATCTTCAATCCCTTTGAGAACAATTAAATTAAAAATACGGTCTCTATTCGCAATTAGAAATTTGCCTACAGTCTTATTTTAGAACAATGATTACACATTACCCAACTTAACACAACTCAATAATAATTGTATGTAAAATTATAAACAAACAATTTAAATCCATTGAAGAAAAATGTTTGTACTTTGAACTGCATACTATATATTAAACACGTGGAACAGTAAAACGGTAAATTACAAGATACAATATACATGTAAAAACACTTTGAGCATTTTTCTTCATATTTACCACTGATTTATATATTATTCAGTACTATAAATCTTTAATTAAATGAATAGTCTCATTTGAACAGTTGTTTGAATTTCTTTGTATGCTTTTATTTAAATTATTTTATTATACTAAAATATTTATATATATAGCATGAAAAATTTAATAATATAGGCTTGGTAACATTTTCCAGTGATAGAATAAGCCTGAAATCTTTGAATACTTAGAGTAATAGAACAGTTTTTTTAATTTGAAAATAATAAAGTTTAAGGAGTGCTAGGAAAGGTTCTCTTGAATGAATCAATAATTAGAAATCTCATTGTCCATATATCAATGCTTTGCTGTGAAGAAATTTACATTAAGAAGCCCTCACGTGACTAATATCTGTAACCTACGATAATCACATTGTACTGTATCTTTATCTGTATTTTGTTACTGTAAATATTTTTTTATAAAAGGCCTCCCTGCCTCTGGAGTTGCTTCAAGGGAGGTGCTTTGATGCCAGTGAAGGGCTCTTGATCCAAGGAATTAGTTACCCTTCCCTTTAGATCTAATCTGATTGCCTCGGGTGTTGTATGACCCATATGGGTTTAGCACCAGTGTATGAATGTAATAATATTAATCCTGTGATGTTTTTGCAATTAGTAACAGTAGTTTATGTACTAACATTTCCTTGATAAGAATATTTATTTCTAAATTTCATTTGTAGATTAACTACAAATTAAATGGCATAGTTTATGGAGAGTTTTTGTATTTGCCCAAATATATTGTGGATTTTAACTAATCGTCAATTTACTGGGCACCATAGCCAAACACCGGGCAAAGTGAGGTAAGCTGTTTGATATGACTTATCTACACCAGGTTTTATTTTATTGGTCTTTGCTGCATATAGGCAGATTTTTTTTTTGCCGCAGTTGCAGCTGCATGATTTCTATTTTTTTTTTTTTTCCATAATTTTTATTTAAGCACAGTAGCTAATGAGAGCTTATACTGTATATTTGTTTGTGTATTGTCATAATATGTAGGAGAATGTTTTTAGCTGCTTTGTTCATAAAATAACATTATTTTTGTGTCCCATTAGTAATGTCCCATTAGTAATATACAATACTTAAAGTACATGCTATTGTGTATTCTGACTAAAACAAACTAGTTGTAAATCACAAAAATACAATGGCTATCAGTTTGTATAATGTTATTAGCCAAGGGTTACATTTGATGCTAGGTGGGGTCATAGTATATTATACATTTGTTGGATACCATTTTTTTTTTTTTTTTAGTATAGGGATAGTGAGCTAGTATTCTTTCCCAAAAGCCCTGTGTTTTGTAAAAGGTGATTAAATTGAAAAGAGTAAGGGAATAGTAACTCATTCTGTATTCATTTGCTAAAATTTTGAAGGAGTATGTGTGGAGGATGTGAATGTAATTCTTTGTACTTGAGGTGAAAGTGTTGGCAGATGAGTCTGTGAAAGAAAAGTTGAATCACAGAATAGATGATGGAAAGGTAGGCGGAATGTTAAGATAATTCTGGAAAGAAGGAAGTTTATGAGTGGAGGCCAAAAGGGAAAGGTGTCAGAGTATATTAGTACCAACACCTAAATGGGTGAGGTATGATCTTCAAATATAGCAAGAAGGAAACAGTGGAGATACCATATGCTGCCTGAATATTATGTAGAGAATAAAATGTGTAAAATTGATGGTGCTGGGTATAAAAGATATAATTCAGAGCTCTGAAGGGGTTTGTCATTTAGAAAAGATGGAGAAAAATAGGTTGGTGAAGAGGTATAAGCCTGAGGTAGAGAGGAGGGTACGGGGTGTTACAGGAGGGGTTGGTGAATATAAAGGATAGAAAATATGTGAGTATGTTAGAGCAGAACAAGTACTGATGTGGCTTTTGGCTTTTGATGTGCTATTGGAATTTGAGCAGACTAACATGGATGAAATGATTCAGATTTGTGTTCTGGAGTTGTTAAATACAATGCCTGCACTGAAGGAGGTGTGAGGATGTTGCACTTCAAAGGGTCACTTGAATTGTAATGTCTGCACACTTCTGGTAAAACAGCTTTTAAATAAGCACAGACAAATGTGTATCCTTCTTTGGGTTATCCTATCTTTGTGGGAAACTGCATCATTCACTTCTTATTTCTTCTGTAAAGTAATTTAAATCATTTACAAATGATCAGTCAGAAACAGTAAATAGCATATAGTATGTACCCACTGGAGGAGCCAGGTATGTCTGGACACAATGTATTGGTACAATACATGAATACAGTACTGAGTGTAGCATTCAAGATGACTGTTAAACTGCAAAATGAAGGTACATTTCAAAGGTATAGTTTGCATTAATGATCACTTTGAAGCATTTTTATCTGTATGGGTGTTTATATGAATTGGTCTTCTGTATATAGATTTTGATTAATGTAGATTGAAGTGTGTTCTTAGGTTCTTTCAAGAATATGATGTATAGAAATGTCATTTCATGCATGGTGTTACTGTCAACTAAAATTACTTTCTGCATACTTGTGAACCCAGTGAAGGAATGCTTATGATAATGCTTTTATGCTCTGTGCATGTGCAGATTTGAAGTTTTAGATCAAGGATGATCAGTTACAGTATGTGAAGTTGGTGTATAGTGTTTGAAAGTGTACATGCATGCAGTTGCTAGGCAGTTATAGTCAAACTTGTCATGCAGTTTGTTTTAGTAGGGAATATCATTAAAGAATGAGGATTCAGTATTGGGCTTACCTTGTGTAGATTGGATGGCAAGATTAGTAGACTGAAGGTACGTGGTAAGAAAAGATAGTCAAGTTGGTGAAAAAAATTGGGGAATAAAATACAGTGGACCCCCGATTAATGATATTTTTTCATTCCAGAAGTATGTTCAGGTGCCAGTACTGACCGAATTTGTTCCCATAAGGAATATTGTGAAGTAGATTAGTCCATTTCAGACCCCCAAACATACACGTCCACTGTAAATTGTTATTTAGAGAAAATCTGATATTTTTAGGCAGAATTTTAAGCGAGACAATAATGGTATGTAAATGTATGTTTATTTTTGCCAAAGCCAGATGATTAAGTGTTAAAAGTAGATCAAAATAAAAAAAAAATATTCTGAAATCATGGCACTTGTAGGAATGCAATACTGTATAGTTAAAACAATTCTTGTTATGGAGGAAGGCAGTAGTACATGGATATATGCACAGCATGTTACTCTACCACTTAAAATTCCAGATGATCCAGTTTTCCTTTCATTATGTGTGGAAAGATGTAAAATACAATAAATTTGATTTAAATTTTAGTGTTGCAGTTTTATAACTGTAATGTAAGCATGCCTCTGGCAAGACAGTGATGGAGTGAACGAGGATGAGTTTTTCTTTTTCGGGCCACCCTGCCTTAGTGGGAGAAGGCCGATGTGTTAATAAAAAAATAAATTTACATAAATATTCTTGTAATGGGAGCAAGGGGCTAGTAACCCCTTCTCCTGTATATATTACCCTGTATATATTACTAAATGTAAAAGGAGAAACTTTCGTTTTTCCTTTTGGGCCACCCCTGCCTCGGTGGGATACGGCCGGTGTGTTGAAAGAAGAAGAAGATTCTTGTAATATAAAATAAGTTATAGATGACATGTTTTAAATGTTTTAGTTTAAATTAATAATATTTTCAGGTGCGTAAGCAACATTTAGAGCGTACGATAGCCTTCCTGGTTGATGAACTGAAAGTTGTCAAAGGTCCCCAAGCTGAGAAGCGTGTATTTTTTGTTTCTGCCAAGGAAGCACTCCAGCAGCGCCTCAGTGAAGCTAAGGGGCATCCCAACAACAGTAAGCAGTACTGTACAATGTATAATTATTAAATATTGTAGGCAGATAGAGAAGCACTTGAAGAGAGGTTTGAAGAAGGCAGGAAATGACAAATGGGGCTGCATGTTAAAAATTAGTGATTATGTTTAAGAGATAAAGGAAGTGGAGGAAGGTCAGAAGAGAACAGGATGTGGATGAGAAGACTGCAATAGGTGCTTGCAGTTATATAAGTACAGTGGTACCTTGGATACGAATTTATTTCGTTCCAGAAGGCTGTTCAAGTGCCGATACCGAACGAATTTGTTCCCATAAGGAATTATGTAAATTAGATTAATGTGTTTCAGACCCCCAAAAATACACTTACAAAAGGACTTACATAAATACACTTACATAATTGTTCGAGTTTTGAGCTGTTCGTAACCCGAGGTACCACTGTATAGGGATCATTAATAGAGAGGACATAATGATTTATGCTGAAGTGTAGTGAGACAAGACTTCATTAGACATGAATAGATTATGAAGGAAAACTAAATGATAAATATGAAGTGAAGGCAATTAGCCAGGAGTGGGATAATGCACAGATTATTATGTATTCTCTATGGTTTTCACAGGTGCTTTAGTTCCCTACCTCTTTGGTTTCCATGTAATGACAAGAGAATGACTTTTTTGCATATATGTGTTTAATTTACACCAAGGGCTTATACAAATTCTTAATCTGATTTTAGTATATTATAAGTAATAAATTTGTTCATGCTATCACAGATTGAGCAGAAAACTGAAAACTTGTACAATATATGGTGTTTCTCTTAAGACAGTGAGTGACTATACCTTTACCTTTGATGAGTTACCCATGTTTCCAAATACAGTAATTCTTTTTCTTTTTGTAATACAGTATTTTCTTTCAGATTTAGAAGGCCTGATCTGAAGCTGGGTTGCAGGGGTAAGGATCATAGAACAATTACCAAATAACCTACAATATTTTATTTCCTAAGATGTGCTAGAATAGGGAGCATGGAGCTGTTGAAGATTAAGGATACCTTGGTCAGTTGTATGACTGACTTAGAGGAGGTCAATAACTCAGACGAGTTGCATTCCTGGTTTTTAATTGTACGAATGAGTTGTTTGTATGTGAAACATACCCATCTGTACAACAGATAGGTATGTTTCACATGTTCTTACTGCCGCTTATTAGTTAGAAAAATAAAGTGGTTCTTCAGTGCCCTGTTTGTTGCTACAGATGTGTATAACTTAGGTCATTTGTAACTGGTGGAGACCTTACACAGCTCTTCACACTTAAAAATGTACAGAGATGTATAAAAATTGTGTACTTGGAACAGTCTTGGCACTGGCAGAGATTTTAGTAGGTAGTGGAAACTTGAAGAATTATGCTTATTTAAAACTAAGTATTTTTGAAAGTGCTAGATAATGCTGCTGTATTTAACTGCCTATTTTCATCCTTTCAGCTGCTGGATATCCAGAAGGATTTACAAGTCGCTATTTTGAGTTTCAAGACTTCGAGCGCAAATTTGAAGAGTGCATTTCCCAAACTGCCGTCATCACTAAATTTGAACAACACACACAACGTGGGAAAAATATTGCAAAGTAAGTCTAATATTATCTCAGAAAAATTTATTAACCATCAGAGTAAATATTTAATGTTGAAAAGCAAAGATTAATACACAGTATATCCTGTATGTATGAAAGATTTAAACTTAGTAGAGAAAAGGCAGACTGGATGAAAAAGCATCAAACAATTAATCAGAAAATAATTTTCATTGCTTATTGCAGAAATAAGAAAAAATGTTGACAGAATATAAGAAGACATAAAATGCAGGGAAGCTTCTATTGATACAGGTTCAGCACTGATTTTCTGGCAACGGATGGCCCAGCACCTATTTTAGTCTGGGGTCACATGTGGCATTGTAGTGTGCACTCACTTATATTGTTTACGTTGCAGTTATTGGTGGTGATCTCTTCATTCTGTGACGATAAAGACAAGCTCACAGGATTCAAGCAATCTAAGGTTAGAGTTATCACCTTAGAGTATTTCAATGCAGCAGGCACTCACATCTTTGCATCTTTGATATCTTTGAAGAATTTTGAGAGTTTATCTACTCTCTAAGCCCGGCCATGGGCCAGGCTCGTCTGGTGTTTGCCTGGTCAACCAGGCTGTTGCTGCTGGAGGCCTGCTGCCCCACATATCCATCACAGCCTGGTTGATCTGGCACCTGGTGAAGATACTTGTCTAGTTTCCTCTTGAAGGCTTCCACACTTGTTCCAACAGTGTTTCTGATATCCTCTGGTAAGATGCTGAAAAGTCTGGGACCCCAGATGTTGATACAGTGTTCCCTTATTGTTTCCACCGCACCCCTGCTCCTCACTGGGTTTATTTTACACTTCCTCCCATATCTCTCACTCCAGTATGTTGTTATGGCAGTGTGCAGATTTGGGACCAAGCCCTCGAGTACCTTCCAGGTATATATTATCATGTACCTCTCTCTCCTCCACTCCAATGAGTACATGTTCAAGACTTGCAGGAGTTCCCAATAGTTTAGGTGCTTTACTGGCTCAGTGTGAGCCATAAATGATCTCTGTATTTGTTCCAGCTCCGGTATTTCTCCTGCCTTGAACGGGGCCATCAGCACTGAACAATATTCTAAGTGAGGGAGCACTAGCGATTTGAAGAGTGTTACCATCGGCATTATTTCCCTTGTTTTGAAAGTTATCAATACCCACCCCATCATCTTCCTGGCTGTCGTGATCTTTGTCTTGTTATGGTCTTTAACCCTTTGAGGGTCGACAGGCCCTCTCCGAGATTCGTTCTCAGGGTCGGCCAAATTAAAAAAAAAAAAAAAAAAAAAATCTTATGAAAAGATAGAGAATCTTTTCCCGATCATAATGACACCAAAAATATGAAATTTGATGGAAAACTTACGGAATTATGCTCTTGCGAAGTTAGCCGTCTTGGTGATGTTTACGGATCGGCGATTTTGCCCACTTTGAGCCCCATTTTTGGCCAGTTCCACTGTACTAGTCGACAAAAACCATGAATATTTCGCTAGAACTCCATTTTTTCTATTGATTGAGTGCAAGAAACCACCCATTTACCAATTTCAACTATCCAGTACAGTGTTCAGAATTTAGCAATTTTGCCAATTTCACACAAATTTCAAAAGATGCCAATTTCCGAATAGGGTCCAGAACAAACAAGAAATACATTCCTGGCACTAAAATGATATTTTCTCTGTTCATTAGTCACGTCTCAAGGCCCCACTTACATTCTTTTGCTTTCCACTTTGAATTTTAATTCTCACAAAAAATAGAAGATTTACTGTTATGCATACTACTGCATTAGTGTAAAAAATGGTATGAATCATATTGGCGCACTTGCAAAGGAATATTAGACTCACCAGTTGACGTGTATTGGACGCTTGGCATGATTTGTTTACTTTTGAACTTTGGTAAAAATCGAACATTTCTGCTACTTTGAGCTCAATTTCAAGGTACTTTTCATTGTAAAACCAGTCAAAATCATCTCAATTTCTATGATATGCCTTCCATTCTATAAAATGAGACCAAGAAAACTGGAATACAACAATAAATACCATACGAAAATACAGTGCAAAGTTGCTGTTTTATTCCAAAAAAACGGTCAAATTTTTTTTTTTCTCATTATGCACTGTGCTGCAGGATTTTTTTTATACCATGCACACTGACCACATAGACCCATTCTTTCATATGGAGGCCTACCAGCTTTCTCCCACTAGATTTGAGGGCGCTAGAATTTAGGCGTACTAGTACGTCAAAAACCCTGGGTCGTAGCCGTACTAGTACGTCCGAAACCCTCAAAGGGTTAAAAGAAAGGTCCGCTGACATAATTATTCCTAGGTCTTTTACGTGTTCCTTACATTCTATTTGGTGACCCTCTTGAGTTTTGTATATAGTGCTCCTTTTGAGTTCTTCATTCTTTCCATACCTAAGCAGCTGGAACTTATCACCATTAAACGTCTTGTTGTTCTCCACTGCCCACTGGAAAACCCTGTTATGTCTTCCTGTACTTTTTCAGTGTCCTCTACCGTACTGACTTTCATGCTTATTTTAGTGTCATCTTCAAATGACGATACAAAAGTGTGCCGGGTGTTTTTGTCTATGTCTGCTATGAGGATGAGGAACAGCAGAGGTGCCAGGACAGTGCCTTGGGGCACTGAGCTTTTGACCTCGCTGATGCTGGATCTTGCCCTGTTCACTACTACTTTTTGTGTTCTGTGTGTTAGGAAACCGAAAATCCATCTGCCTACCTTCCCTGTAATACCCATGGCCTTCATTTTGTGCGCTATCACTCCATGATCGCATTTGTCAAAAGCCTTTGCAAAATCTGTGTAAATCACATTGCGTTTTGGTCGTCTTCCAGTGCCTCCATAATTCTGTCGTAGTGGTTCAGCAGCTGTGACAGACATGATCGTCCTGCTCTAAAACCATGCTGGTTCAGGTTATGTTGGTTGTGCTGGTCCATGAAATTTGTAACCTGCTGTCTCATCACTTTCGAAGATTTTTATGATGTGGGAGGTTAGGGCTACTGGTCTGTAATTTTTAGCTAGTGCTCTACTACCTCCCTTATGCAAAGGAGCTATGTCTGCACTCTTTAAGGCCTCCAGTATTTCACCTAAGCTCTTTCTCCAAAGAATGCTGAGGGCTCGTGCTAGTGGTACTTTGCACTTCTTTATAAATAGAGCATTCCAAGAATCTGGTCCAGGTGCTGAGGGAGTGGGCATGTTTTCCATTTTTTTTTCGAAATCTATGGGATTTGTACTAATGTCAGTTAGTTGGTCTGTGCTGCCTTCTTCTGGAGTGAAAAATATTTTTGCATTTTCTACCTTGCTGTCATTTAGTGGGTTGCTGAACAGCGACTCATACTATTTTTTTAGGATTTTACTCATTTCCTGTTCGTCGTCAGTATAAGAGTCTCCTCTCAGTAGTGGATTTTGTGTAGGAATAGAAATATTTTGGGTTCCTTGCATATCCTGTATGGCCCTTTGTTCCCTTTGTACTTCTTCTGTGAGGTATGACATCCTAAGTTTTTGCTCTAATTCAGTGACCTCTCTGCTAAGTCTATCTTTCCTCTGTTGTAGCATATTTGTGTTTTTAAGCAGTTCAGTAACCCGTTTTCTTCTTCTGTACCATCTCCTACGCGCTCTCTATATCTAATGTTCTTCTGGGTTTCCTCAATGGTACATGTTTCATACATACTTCGTATGCTTCTGTATTCAGCTTCTCTAGGCACTGGTGGGGATTTAGGGTGCTCATGTCTGATTCCCAGGGTATGTCTGCTAGCTCTTGCTATATAAGCCACTAATGATCAGAAAAAGTGACTGTCCCTAGGGCCTTAAAAGACATTGAAATTCACCCAGTAATGTACCATGTTCAGCTTGCCCCAAAACTGAACTCTTGTGTATGAAAATTTTTTATACAGTGTATTTACTGCAAACTCTAAGACCAAGGAAGGCTACATATCACTCACTTTTCATGCAATGTATGGTAGATGTGGTAAATGTTGGCAAGCCTGTAGAAACATTTATTAAAGAACTAAGCTTGAAAGATGTGCTTTGGCTCATTGCTAGTGCCTGCGAGAAGGTATAGGCATCAACATTAAAGAAAGTCTGGCATAAGTTGTGACCTGCCCTAATGTTTGATACTTCACCTGATGAAAATCTTGTCAGTGACCTTGTAGGATTTCATGTATCAAGGGAGAAAGTTGTTCATGAGTTGCTTAAATATGCAGAAAGTGTTATGGGATCTGTTGCCAATATAACAAGTGGGCTTAATGAAGAAAATCTGGCAAAGTGGATGAATGTCAATGAAAATATATTTACCTGTTGTTTGTCACTGACTGAAATGATTGACATTGTTCTGAATCCTGATAAAAACAGTGAAAGTGATGAAGATAACAGTGATGACAATGAAAAAGATGTAGCTAAGAGACTTAATATTGGAAAGTTAATTGAGTTGTCATGTGAATTAATCAAAGGGCTAGAACAAAATTCTTTCGTGATGGAACAAGAGCTAATGAATTTTTATGTGATGCATGAAAATTTACATGGAAAGATCAAAGCACAATAAGCAGCTTTGCTGAAATATAAAAAGAAAACCAAGAAGAGTGCTTGTCATAACGGTACACCTACATCTGAAAATCCTGTGGTTTCAACTTCCAGTAACCCAGGTATATCCCCTGCAACAACACAAATCCATGATGAAACAATCAACCGTGAAACAAACAGTAATCCTGACAGTCCTCAGCTTCAGACCTTTGTGATTAACCCTACAGTTCCTGTAAAATTATAAGATTTACCACTTTAGGAGCAACATTCTTTGTAAGTATAACAGTTAATAAACCTGTTTCATTTATTCTAATCTTAAATTAAGGTTTCTAGCAGCCAATGGTAGATCAGAGGTGTATTGTTGAATTATTGTCTAACCTCTCCTGGTCTGGCAAAATTGATATTCCACCAAGGCTTAGGAACCAAGGGTGCTGGAAAAAATCATTGTATCTGTACTATGTTGCACTCAGTGTGGGGTGAAATGTTGTACCAGTTCAAGGTTTCCTT